GCAGCCTTGGCCTTCTCAGCCTCACTCCCAGTAGACATGCCAAATTTTAGCTTCATGGTCTTGCCACCGTGGATTCTGTTGGACTAGAGCCTGGGAACCCAGAGGGCGATGCTTTCACCGGGGTTGTAGTAAGGTTTCCACTGCCCTGGACGTTGTAGAACTAAAATAGGTGTTAGAGGAGTGAGATGGTGAATATGTATTTTGACCGTTGGACCAGCTGTGGCAGTAGGGTTTGTAGCTTGGTTTGCTCAACCTCTGTAGGTCTTTTTAGGAGATTGCAACTGAACATTTCCTGAAATAATTGGACTTGTACTTCCACTCCTAGGAAAGAAATGAGGACGATTTATTTCACGTGAGATCTGAATACTGTAGGAGGGTGGAAGCATGTCTACAAGGCAGAAGGGGTGGAGGAACCAGACCCAGTTAGTGTACTAGCACACATCTCCTTGGCCCGTCTCCACCAGTGGTCCTTGCACACTTGCCTTCCTTCCTGGCCAATGCAGCCCTGACAACAACTCACACTGTTGTCTTGGTTGTAAAGCGGTGCCCGTGACCACTGCCACCAGCACACACTGGGGAGTCCCCATGCACAGCAGTGACTGGTAGGGAGAGACCACCTTCACTGCACACTGATTGGTCTGGGCACGTAGAAACTCTGGCTTCCCCTTCAGCTGTGACCAGAGCCAAGAAACACAACTGGGGGAGGCAGAAGGGACATGCAAGTGTGTTTGCTCTCACACTATAGCATGTGAGAGCAAACGGGAAAAAGACAGAAGGTGAACTGCTGCCCTTCCTCCCTACTGCCAGGCTGTTCTGAGATACCATGGTTTCACACCTCTTATCTCAAGAGGTGCTGTCCAGCCAAGCAATTGGTTGTGTTTTCTGTGAAGCCAGGGCAGCCTGGGGACACCTCCCCTCGTACTCCATCTCCCCCGACTGCCTCACTTCCATTGTTCACCTTCCTTGTTTCCCTGGAATTGCACTCTTCCCAGTTAAGCGTTAACGCGTATGTTTTTGCCTCAGCCTCTGTTTTCTAGTGAACCTGGACCAAGACACAGGGCTTCTTGGAAAAATGACTGATTACTGGTCTGCAGAAAGAAATGCACGTGATGAGCCTGGGACATCTTATTGTGCGAGACACTAATGGTGTCATGTCAAAAGGACACAGGAGCAAATTTGAAGGGGCTCCAACTGGCCAAAGGTGGGACAATTTAGGCATCAAAAGAAATATTGACTACAGTGGATTTAAATACATCAAATATTTTTTAAATCATGAGTTCTTAATGATACCAAGAGAAAAAAATCATTGGTAGCTAGTACACCAGCTCAGTTCTGAAAGTTGATCAAGAAAAGAATTATGTGTCTATTCTGTCTTTTCTGTGAAAAATTATACTCTAGGGGGACTAAATAGCTGATGAGCTAAATTCTTCTTCATAGACTAATTCCACCTAATAGATGCAGAGGAATGATAGATTTAGAAGATCACCTGTGATGATTAATTTTGTGTGCCTACTTGACCAGGCCATGGGGTGGCCAGAGACTGGGCTAAACATTATTTCTGGATGTGACTGTGAGGATATTTCTGGATGAGATTAACATGTGAATCAGTAGCCTGAGGAAAGCAGATTGACCTCCCCAATATAGGTGGGCGTCATCCAGTTCATTAAGGGCCTGAACAGAACAAAAAAGCAGAGGAAGGAAGAATTCATTGCTTCTTCTGCCTGAGTACTTGAGCTAGGATATAGGTTTCCTCCTGCCCTCACACTGGGATTTGCACCATCAGCTCCCACGGGTCTCAGGCCTTCGGACTCAGATGGAATAGCATGTCAGGCTCTCCTGCATCTCCAGCTTGCAGATGGGAGATCATGGGACTTCTCAGCCTCCATAGTCACGTGAGCCAATTCCCCATAATAAATCCCTTTACAGAACCCTGCTGGTTCTGTTCCTTTGGAAAGACCCTGGCTAATACTTTGCCATTTTACAAACCCGAATGAAATAATAGATTTGGCAGTGATTTTCAATAAACACTAACATAATTAGATCAAAGGTTGATAGGAAACTTGATAGTGGAGAGATGAGGCTGACATGTCTGAAGCCAGTGATCATTCCCAACATTGCAGAAAGGGAGTGAAGCAGATATTCTCTTCTCGTAATGTGATGCAATAGAAGGCACCACCCATGAATATGGAGCCTGAACCTAATCGAGCCTTTAAATCTAACAATCAGCTTACAGGAAATTCAGGGAACACAGGAACAAGTTAAACAACAATGCAAAGATGCAGTCAGGCAAACCCAGAATGTGAAAGATTCTATGATAGGACACATGACCCACTTTTTCCAAAAAAATAATTGCGATGTATGAATTTTGGCTTCTGATTGGAACAAACCAAGTATTGAAAGACATTTTTGAGACAATGGGGAAGTTTGAGTATAGACTAGGAAGAGATAGTGCTATTAAGGGGTTTTTGTTAATTTTATTAGGTATGATACGGTATTGCTGTCATGTTTTTTAAAGTTTTTATCTAGTATAGATGCATATTGACCTATAGATTCCTGGGATTTTCTTTAAAATACTCCAGAAAAATAAAGTGGGAAGGTATAGATGAAACAATAATGGAAAATGTTGGTAATTGTTGAAGTTGAGTGATGGGTACATAGGGGTTTATTGTACCATTCTCTCTGCTTTTTCGTGTTTGTGCTGGTTATTCTATTTTTTTGCCCCTAGGTCTATTCTCTGTTCTACTATGCCTTGCTCTGTGGCCTAAAGGCCAATCTTGATAGATGGAATCCTCTAGACTTCTGTGTTGTCTGGTTTCTAGGTGGGCTCAGCCAGTGTAGGTCACCAACAGCAGATCAGCAGTGGGAGGGAAGAGCAATCAGGGTATTTATTCCCCCTCCCTTCCTCTCTGCCTTCCTGAGGTTCTAGTAACTCTGTTCCACTATAGCAGTGGTATTAGTTTGCTAGGGCTGCCATAACAAGTGACTGCAGACTGGGTGGCTTAAACAACAGAAACCTCTTTCTCATGGTTCTGGAAGCTAGAAGTCCAAGATCAAGGTGTTGACAGGGTGGGTTTCTTTTTTTGTTTTTGCGGTACGCGGACCTCTCGCTGTTGTGGCCTCTCCCATTGCGGAGCACAGGCTCCGGACGCGCAGGCTCAGCGGCCATGGCTCACGGGCCCAGCCACTCCGCGGCATGTGGGATCTTCCTGGACCAGGGCATGAACCCGTGTCCCCTGCATCGGCAGGCGAACTCTCAACCACTGTGCCACCAGGGAAGCCCAGGGTGGGTTTCTTTTGAGGCCTCTCCCTGGTTTGCGGATGGCTGCCTTCTCCCTGTGTCTTCACATGGTCTTCCCTCTATACATCTCTGTGTACGTATTTCCTCTTCTTATAAGGACACCAGTCATACTGGATTAGGGCCTGCCCAAATGACCTCATTTTAACTTACCTCTTTAAAGATCCTATCTCCAAATGCAGTTATATTCTGAGGTAGTGGGGTTTAGGACCTCAACGTGTGAAATTCAGGGGAGACACAATGCAGCCCGTAACAGCAGGGGTCAGTACACTTTTGCTATAATGAGCCAGATAGTAAGTATTTTAGGCTTTGTGGGCAATACAGTCTTGATCACCACTACGTAACTCTGCCATTGCAGCATAAAGCAGCTACAGACAATATGTAAATGAATGAGCATGGCTGCGTTCCACTAAAACTTTACAGAAACAGGTGGCAGGCCAGATTTGGCCCACGGGCCATAGTTCACTGACCCCTGCATCTGATGACAGCTCCTGTCGGTCAGCCCCTTTCTTACGTGTTCACTTCTCAATGGTTCCTGCCCTTTCAGGCCAAAGGGTGGTAACAGTTCCCACTGTTGCTAATCCCAGAGTGCCACCCTTCCCTTCTCTGGTTCCATGAACCTGATCACACTTTCCTTACCCCCTGCATTCAGTTCTCTTTGGCTAAATGCCTTTTGGGTGTAACACTTGTTTCTGGTCAGGACACTCATTGAAATAGCATATGTTTGAAATTTCCTATAGAAGAATCATAATGAAAGAAAACAATAGATTTGAAAAGCAAAATTGGGGCTTCCCTGGTGGCGCAGTGGTTGAGGGTCCGCCTGCTGACGCAGGGGACGCGGGTTCGTGCCCCGGTCCAGGAGGATCCCACATGCCGCGGAGTGGCTGGGCCCGTGGGCCGTGGCAAAAAAAAAAAAAAAAAAAAAAGCAAAATTGATACGACTTGGTTCTTGGCTCTGTAGACCAGGGGCTGGATGGAGAACGTGGCAGGCACTCAAGGTGAGAACCAAGGCGGGGCCAGTGCAGGTGGGGGGCATGCCCAGAACCTGACCAAGCCCAGAGACGGGTCAGGGGACCGTCCACCAGCCACAGGCTGCCCTGGCCACCACCTGTGGCCGGGCATGGACAGTCACCCCTCAGCAGGCCCAGTGCAAGGATGCGGAGGCCACCGCCTCCCCCTGCTGCCACATGTGTGGCCACAGTCTTTCTCCACACGCCCAAGCCCTGTCTCCGAGAGGAGTGGGACAGTATGAGAGGCTGAGAGGGTGTTTGTTGGCTTGTTTGTTTTACTTAAGGAGGCGAACCATGATTTCTAAAAGCTTGCATTAAAGTAAGTTTACAGGGGCTTCCTTGGTGGTGCAGTGGTTGACAGTCCGCCTGCCGATGCAGGGGACAACGGGTTCGTGCCCCGGTCCAGGAAGATCCCACATGCCGCGGAGCGGCTGGGCCCGTGAGCCATGGCCGCTGAGCCTGTGCGTCCAGAGCCTTTGCTCCGCAACGGGAGAGGCCACAACAGTGAGAGGCCCGCGTACCACAGTAAGTTGACAGGATTGGACTAGAAAATATTTTATCCAGCAGCTGGGGGCCTGTGAAAAAAATCTGGGTAGATATGGACAAATAAAGGGACTACCTTTTCTTTGCAGCCCCCAGAGAACTGTGGGTAATTTGAGGACTGGCTCCACCTGTAACGGGCCTGTGGACTCCAGCACCAGCGAGAAAAAGGAGCCGGAGCGTCACGGGCTGAAATGGGCTCCCGGGGGTTTCGGATGCAGGGGTGTTTCTGGGCAAACCCCGAGAGCCACAGAAGCCGAGGAGAGCTTCACCGAAAGGTCCGGAGGCGGGCTGCTACCCACTGCGGGAGACGGTCCTCAGCCCTCGCCGAACGCTTCCCGTCAGAGGGCCGGAGAGGAACCTCCTGCGCCATGACTTCACCGCGCTCCGCTGGCCGCCAGGGCCCCCGGGAAATGAAGCCAGGCAGCTGCCAGCCGGCCTCCTAACTCCCCCTTCCTCTCCGGTATGGATGGCGCTCTCCTCGCGTGTTCCTCAGGAAATTGCACATATTTCCCTGCCTTTGGTGCGCGCCGGCAGCGCAGCTGTTTGCCCTGTTCACCTGCCTTCTGAGGCCACGGGGAGAGGAAATGAGGAGGGTGAGCTCATGGGAAAGGGAAGCAAAGCAGGGCGAGGGGCAGAGCCGAAGGGCATCATTTATTTAGGTGAGAGCGTGGGCCCCTCCCCTACTGAGGGGTCTTAATCCCGGATATGCTTGTAAACGTGTCTCCAAAACTCCTGCATTCATCCAGAACAATCCGGTGGTCAAAGTGCTGCCCTGGCTGGGCACTCAGGGGGGCCTTAGTTCGGGCGGCTCTAACAGAACACCGTAGACTGGGTGGCTTATAAACGGCAGGAGTCTATTTCTCAAGAGTTCTGGAGGGGCTTCCCTGGTGGTGCAGTGGTTGAGAGTCCGCCTGACGATGCAGGGGACACGGGTTCGTGCCCCGGTCCGGGAAGATCCCACGTGCCGCGGAGCAGCTGGGCCCGTGAACCATGGCCGCTGAGCCTGCGCAACCGGAACCTGTGCTCCGCAATGGGAGAGGCCACGGCAAAAGAGTTCTGGAGGCTGGAAGGTGGGGATCAGGGTGCCAGCAGGGTCAGGGCCTGGTGAGAGCCCTCTTCTGGGTTTTCACTTTGGGTTTTCACATGGCAGAGAGGGTGAGAGAATTTTCTGGAGACTCTTTTAGGAAAAAGGGCACTTAGCACATTCATGAAGGCTTCCTGAAAGCCCCACCTCCTAATACCATCACATTGGGGATTAGGATTTCAACATAGGAATCTTCGGACAGTCACAAACATTCAGTCCATAACAGAGGAATACAAAAGAAATTATTAAAAGGAACTAAAATTATCTCACTCCTCCATTCAGCCAGCATGTACTGAGTGCCTGATTTGAGCAGGTTGGTGTTTTAAGCCTAAGTGGTAGAGTGATGAATAAGATGACAAGGTGGATGTGAGATAATAAATGATACATAGGTACATGTCTATATACACACACATACATATGTGTATACTTTATGTTTTTGCATGTGCATACATAAAATACATGCATACTAATATTCATGTGTATACAATACATATATAACATGAGGTAAGGATGAGTGCTTTGAAGAAAAATAGAACATGGGCAGGGGAGAGAAAACATCAAGGGGTCAGTAGCTCTGTTCTGCTGTAGCAGCAACTGCACACTTTTTCTGTAAAGGACCAGACAGTCAATAGTTAAGGTTTTGTGGGCCATATGGTCTCTGTCGCCACTACTCTGCCCTGATTACCCCACTCCTTGGGGCTTTGGGGAAATTACTTAACCCCTGTGGTGCTGCCATTTCCATGTTATAAAATGGGACTCAAAAGAGTCCCTACTTCTGGTTGTTGTTGCGAGATTACATGAAATAATATCTTTAAAGTTCTTCGCACCAAATAAACATGAAAGGCTCCTGCTTTTGTCACACCTCCCACTCCCCAAGTCTGAAGGGGGTAGGGCCATCGGGTCACCTGTCCTGCCCTCACACTTGGTGCTAGATGTGCAGACCCTTCCCTGCCTTACGGGTCTTGGTATCAGAAGAGGCCCAACCCCCGACTGACAGCCTGGTCTGAAGCAGCCCCTCGAGGAGAAGGCAGATCCCCACACAGATATTAGCTTGATTCACCTTGTTTACTCCCTCACAGCAATCCTGTCCCTTTGATAGAAGAGGACACTGAGGGTCATGGATGACAAGAAGTGCTCAGTTGTCTCCATGACACATCATGATGCCTCACAGACAGGGAAGGGTTCCAGCTGAAACAGTAGCAGATCACGTGGTCCAGAGATGGAAAAGAAGGGTTCCCTCCTCTGTTGCCATCCCTTCCCCACCAACATTTAATCTGCCCCTGAGACTCCCCAGGATCTGTGGGATCATGCCCTTCCCGTGTTCCCTACTGCAGCTTCTGTGCACACCTTTCTCTGGCTCCGTCAACAACAGCACTGCCTCGTGCTCCATCTCCTCACAGGCCTCCTAATCTGACTAATACATTTGAATTAATGAATAATAAAAGCTTATTTGATGATGGGAAGACCTCCCAGGGAACATTTATGTTTCAGCAAAGTTTTCATTCATTTGAAGGTGGATGAGTCCCAGTGGTGTTGTCAGGCACCCTGGCAGCCCATCTGAAGATATTTCATCTTGGTGAGGAAGGGGATAGGAAAGCTTTGTCCCATTTTGACAGATGAGGAAACTTAGGCTCAAAGAGTTTATAAATGTAGTAATGCCTTCCTATTTAGATCATGCCAAATTACATGCCACTGAAATCAGGACTATAAATGCCATCACATATATCAAGCATACAGTACAGTAAATATTGTTTATCTGCCCTTCCCTCTTTCCAATCCGTCAGCCTCAAGCTGGAAGAAATGCTTAGGTAAGGTAAGGAAGGACAGTTGAAGCAGGACATTGAGGAGGGGGAGTTCTAGTTGGATACGGAGAAGGGGAAAATGAAGGCTTATTTGCACAGAGGTATTGCACGTTCATCATATCACAGTTTAGAATGTGCCAGACCTAACACATTTCCCGTAAATACATTTACTGACATCTACAACCCCCACTGAGAAATCTATTTCTGATCTCCTTTTGAAGACTTACATAATTCCAGGTGAGCGTGGCCCAGTGGCAAGATATTTCCAAGGAAAGGGAGGGAACCTAATTCTCTTCTTGGTTTCATCTTGTTCTGGAACACTTGTGAGGGCTCAAATCTAAGGGGAGAAAAAATGCCCTACTGCTTCAGGCAGCACAGCAAGCATAAAGAGAAAGCAAAAATTTCCATGTAAAAGGAGGCAGGTACAAGCTCCCTCATGTTAGCACCACTTTACAAACTTACCATTTGCTTGAACTTGGAGGGACATAGGACTTTTCAAGGGCCAAGCACAGGTGGAACAAAATGAATGTTTCAGTCTTATCCTGCAAAGGTTTAAGAGGAACAGTGGAAGAGAGATGGATGGATGGATGGGTGAATAGGTAGGTGGATAGATAAATTGGTGAATGTACAGTGTGGGGGGTGGGGCAAGTGGATAGGTAGGTGGATAGATGGGTGGATGTATATAGGTGGATAGATGGCTGGATGTATAGGTGGGCAGATCGGTGGTTGTATAGGTGGGCAGATGGCTGGATGTATAGGTGGGAAGATGGGTGAATGTATAGGTGGATAGATGGGTGGATGTATAGGTGGGCATATGGGTGGATGTATAGGTGGATAGATGGGTGGATGTATAGCTGGGCAGATGGGTGGATGTATAGGTGGATAGATGGGTGGATGTATAGGTGGATAGATGGGTGGATGTGTAGGTGGATAGATGGGTGGATGTATAGGTGGATAGATGGGTGGATGTATAGGTGGATAGATGAGTAGATGGGAAAAAATGGACAGAGGGATAGGATGGATGGATGGATAGTTGGATAAATAAGTGGGTAGATGCATGTGTGTGTGTGTGTGTGTGGTGGGTAGATAGGTGGGTTATTGGATGGTAGGACAGTATAGATTGATGGAGAAGTGCATAGGGAGAAATAGAGGGATGAATGGTTGGATGGACGGAAACGTAGATGAATGGATAAGTGGCTGATGGATGGGACGATAGGGGAGCTATAGGTGGCTAGCTAAATCCTGCCCATGTTTGTGTTTTGTTTCACCTATATGGTATTTGAATTAGTTCTAATTTTAGGTACAGAAAAATGTACCTAAAAATCTGGATTTCTGGCCTCTCCTGAAAAATCAGAAGCTCTGGCAAAACCGGGCCTACATTCCTTCAAGGCAACAACTGACTGGAACTGAGTAACAGCTGTCCCCTTTAGATGCGTGTGAAGGCATCAGTCCACCAGAGTCCCCAGCACTCCACAGTAGCTCTGACACCTGCCAACTTCATTCTGTGACATTATCTACCCACCCAGTAGGCATTTGCTAATTCACCAAAGGACCTAGTAAATATAGGCCCTTTATTAAGTAGGCGCATGGTAAGTTTATGATTCAGCGACTCTGCCCTCAGGCCCCTGAGAAGAGGCTCTCCATGTCCCTTCTCATTACTTCCAGTGTCACAATCCTAATCTTAGAGGATGGGGATGGAGGGGCTTGCCTCACCACACACCCCTTTAGTATGGAGACCTAACCTCTTAGCATAACAGGAAAAGCGTTTCAGGATCCAAATTCCCACCTACCTATTCAACCATGTACATAAACTACTCTATCCCCCACTGCAAACTAAAATATCTCAACTGCTTTCCCCTTAGGCTGGGCATGAACCAACAGTTCTTTGCCTTTGTTTGTGCTATTTCTTTGGCCAGGAATGGGCCCTCGCATCACTCTTGGTCCATTTGGTAAACTCCTCATCCTTTAAGTCTCAGTACAAGTATGGCCGCCTTCTCTGGCCACCCTCTCCAGACAGAATGAGATGCTCCCTTCTCTCTATGCCCCTCACATGGACAGTTATACAAACACAGCCTCATATGACCATCTTTCCCATCAACCATACTACCTAGTCTGGATCCTTAGGGCCCAGCACAGTTTCTAGCCAGTAGTTGGTCTCCATACACGTTTGTTGTTGAATGAGTCAGTAGCTATGCTGTGCTCACTTCCTCATTGAGATATCAAAGAAATTCTTCACTGCTATAGCCACTCAGGCTGTGCACTGCACACCTGCAGGGGGCACTGACATAAACTGAAATAAGAATGGCACCCCTGGATTTTGAAGTACACAGCAGTATTGGTGGACCTGCCTACAGACCATCCTGGCAGGCAAACTACAGGAACAGAATTACCTCTCCCCAACCCCTGCCAAGGTCCGTCAGAATAGATTTTGTCTTACTTACTGGATATGTGACTTTGGACAAGTTACCTAACCTCTCTGTGCCTCAGTACCTTCATTTGTAAAAGAGGGATAGGGCTTTCCTGGTGGTGCAGTGGTTAAGTATCCACCTGTAAATGC